TCTCAGTGACTCTTCATAGTTTGTTTGTTTGTTTTATGTTTTGTTACCTTCTGATTGTATGATATTCATCTAGTGTCTTTTTGGCTTCTGTGCTGGTTTTTACCATGAGGCAGTTTACTTAGTAACACATTCCAAGTGTGAGAGTTAGATAAACATTGCTATATCTCAATACCTCATAATGATAAGAAACTGCCTTGATATCTCAACACCTGTTTGATGAATGTTTGCAGAGCAGAGTGGCAGACTATTCATTTGGGTGAATCTGGCTAACTTATTGTTGAAAGTATATTCTTTAAATATAGAATATAAGGATTTAAGCTGGCCATAGATGGGTATTTCTGTTTTTCATTCAGCCAGCAGCATGGAGAAAAAAAACGATTCCTCTATCTACAAAAATGAGATGGATGGAGTAATTCTCCCTACCAGGACATTGTATTGTGAAAACAGGACTCCTCCTGGTCTGCAGCTGCTGATCAAGAAACCTTTTCGAACATTCTTCATCAACAGAAGCTGATCAAATAATCGACTAGACATGTGCAGTTCATTTAGTTCCAAATTAAAAATCAGAGACAATTTTGATTATTTGGAGATTCGGATATATTTTATTTGTATATATGTATTATTTTGGATATGTTGAAATTCGTTAGAATTGTAAAGAAACAACAAAATTTCATTTGTTTTCATTGTTTTTTTTGAAGCATCTGAATGAAGTGAATGATCCGAATTGATTCGGTAACAGCTGTCTGTCAAGGAGTGGGCAGCCAGCTGCCCTCTGCTTCCTCAACAACCATGCCTCATCTGCTGATAGCGGGATTACCGCTGGGCCTGGTATGTGTGTGGGGAACCCCCACACTGCTAGGTTTTTTTTTTTTTTTTTGTTTTTTCTTCTACTTTTTAAAACCGGAATTGTTTGTTTACCTTCTGCTGTGAGGGGGGGGACCTGCTGACAGCAGATGAGTCATGGTTGCTAAGGATGCGGTGGCCACATGCTCCTTAACAACCAGCTATTCTTTACAGTGAATTCAGATTGATCCGATTAACTTTGGTTTGATTAGAATACTTTGAGTCCATGCAGATACAAAACAAATGTAATTTTAAATACAACAAAATTAAATTAGTAACTTAATGAATTGATCCAAAACTAAACAAAATTTTTTTTCGTTCTGCACATGTCTACAATTGATTTGCATTGCACAGGGATGGCCGCACACTGATCAAAATTCAGCCAGTCCTTACGGAACCTGCTGAATTTTGAGCCGTCTATGGCCAGCTTTATTGACCAGTGCTTACAGATTTTAGAACTACTGAAAGTATTATGTAAGACCACCCTAAACCAATATATACTTTGCCCCCAAGGTCATAATTGCCAACTTTTTTTTTTTGCCTATTTCTATGTATTAGGCCTTGCCTACTGTCATCAAAATAGGGGAAAAAGTTTTTGCATTTTGGTATAATTTTGGACTAAAAATTCATGTAAATCCAAACTGCCAACATTGTAAAGGTTCCTGACTATGGGACATATGCAGTAATGTATGAATTAAAAGCGGGTATGCCTTGGAGCTAGCACCATCCTCCTTGGACCCCTTGCACAAGGGGCATCTAGCTGTTCATCCCAGATTTTTCGGGTGGGTCTGCATTCCAGGTATTTGTCCCTGGAAAACATAGGGCTATAAATTAAGAGTGCTACCATTTCAACAGACATTGGTCCTGGAAACTGCACCTGTATCTCCCAGGCACACTAAAATGCTGAGATGCATGCACAGCAGCTGGACATCCCCCCCCCCCCCCCCCATGTGCAAGGAGCCTTAAGGTTCAACACACCTAACAAAGACCTAACATTGTGCACAGCAGAAAAACAATCCCCAATCTGTGTCTGTACCAAATCCAACAAACAGCAACTGTTCAAGCCAAATTATAATATGGAGAAAAGAAAAGGAGGTCTTTATAGCATTGCTATACAGTGGAGAAAATAATTATTTGATCGCCTGACGATTTTGGAAGTTTGCCCAACTTACAAAGAAATAGAGGGTCTATAATTTTTATCATAGGTGTATTTTAAATGGTAGAGACAGAATATCAACCAAAAATCCAGAAAAATAACATTTGATACAAATGTTATAAATTTGAGTTGCAGTTCAGCGAGTAAAATGAATATTTGATCCCCAATTAAAACATGACTTAGTACTTGGTGGAGAAACCCTTGTTGGCAAGCAGAGGTAAGCCGTTTCTTGTAGTTGGTACCAGGTTCCATAAAGATCATATAAGCAGTCCCTGAAGCAGCAGTTTCTCCAGCCAATATAATTATTTTAGTGCTTTTGCAACCATTTACAAGTCTGAGAGAGTGGGGTGGGCCGTATTTTGACCGTATTTTGTGGGTAGGTTTGCTTTAAATGTCCCCTATAACATTTGCCTTCTCAGCCAGGAAGATCTAAAGATTGACACTAACATGCAGAAACAAATAAGTTATACAGATGATTGCATGTTTCCAATGATACAATTTTCCAGGGAAACCTCCTGAGAACCAGGAAAATCAAAGCAAATATGTAAGCAAGTTATCATATAATATACAGTCAGGTCCATAAATATTGGGACATCGACACAATTCTAACATTTTTGGCTCTATACACCACCACAATGGATTTGAAATGAAACGAACAAGATGTGCTTTAACTGCAGACTGTCATCTTTAATGTGAGGGTATTTACATCCAAATCAGGTGAACGGTGTAGGAATTACAACAGTTTGCATATGTGCCTCCCACTTGTTAAGGGACCAAAAGTAATGGGACAGAATAATCCTAAATCAAGCTTTCACTTTTTAATACTTGGTTGCAAATCCTTTGCAGTCAATTCCAGCCTGAAGTCTGGAACGCATAGACATCACCAGACGCTGGGTTTCATCCCTGGTGATGCTCTGCCAGGCCTCTACTGCAACTGTCTTCAGTTCCTGCTTGTTCTTGGGGCATTTTTCCCTTCAGTTTTGTCTTCAGCAAGTGAAATGCATGCTCAATCGGATTCAGGTCAGGTGATTGACTTGGCCATTGCATAACATTCCACTTCTTTCCCTTAAAAAACTCTTTGGTTGCTTTTGCAGTATGCTTTGGGTCATTGTCCATCTGCACTGTGAAGCGGCGTCCAATGAGTTCTGAAGCATTTGGCTGAATATGAGCAGATAATATTGCCCGAAACACTTCAGAACTCATCCTGCTGCTTTTGTCAGCAGTCACATCATCAATAAATACAAGAGAACCAGTTCCATTGGCAGCCATACATGCCCACGCCATGACACTACCACCACCATGCTTCACTGATGAGGTGGTATGCTTAGGATCATGAGCAGTTCCTTTCCTTCTCCATACTCTTCTCTTCCCATCACTCTGGTACAAGTTGATCTTGGTCTCATCTGTCCATAGGATGTTGTTCCAGAACTGTGAAGGCTTTTTTAGATGTAGTTTTGACAAACTCTAATCTGGTCTTCCTGTTTTTGAGGCTCACCAATGGTTTACATCTTGTGGTGAACCCTCTGTATTCACTCTGGTGAAGTGTTCTTGATCTGGCCAACTGTTGTGAAGGGTGTTTTCTTCACCAGAGAGAATTCTTCAGTCATCCACCACAGTTGTTTTCCGTGGTCTTCCAGGTCTTTTGGTGTTGCTGAGCTCACCGGTGCATGCCTTCTTTTTAAGAATGTTCCAAACAGTTGTTTTGGCCACGCCTAATGTTTTTGCTATCTCTCTGATGGGTTTGTTTTGTTTTTTCAGCCTAATGATGGCTTGCTTCACTGATAGTGAAAGCTCTTTGGGTCTCATCTTGAGAGTTGACAGCAACAGATTCCAAATGCAAATAGCACACTTGAAATGAACTCTGGACCTTTTATCTGCTCATTGTAATTGGGATAATGAGGGAATAACACACACCTGGCCATGGAACAGCTGAGAAGCCAATTGTCCCATTACTTTTGGTCCCTTAACAAGTGGGAGGCACATATGCAAACTGTTGTAATTCCTACATCGTTCACCTGATTTAGATGTAAATACCCTCAAATTAAAGCTGACAGTCTGCAGTTAAAGCACATCTTGTTTGTTTCATTTCAAATCCATTGTGGTGGTGTATAGAGCCAAAAATGTTAGAATTGTGTCTGTCCCAATATTTATGGACCTGACTGTACATTCTACTTTGTTTTGAACCCCAGTGATATTTGCTTTTTTATACATTTTTCTGCCTATGCGTGACCTTTCCATACACCACCACCAAGTGTCTGCAGGGGTAGATCTATGAGATATCCACGTGGTAGGCCTAGAGCACGTGTTTTTAAATTTTGATTCCTACAAGAGCTATGTTTCTTGAATGTTTCATCAGATGTTTACCTATAAGCAATGCATGGATAGTAAATAGAGGTTGTGTTATTCATTTCTGATACACCTATGCAGTTTGCGTTTGATCCGTTTCTGCAGTGTGTTTTTGCGTTCTGTTTTTGCAGATGCGTTTTTTTTTAGGTTTTTTTTTTTTTAGTTTTTTTTTTATTTCTTGTTGCTAGGCAGGTTTAAAACACATCAAAAACGCAATACGTTCTTTTTTGCAGCATTTCCATTGAAATCTATAGAACCAAAAATGCAACTTTTTGCGTTTTAAAAAAAGTCCCTGACCCTTTCCAAAAAAACACACCGGGTGAAAACGCAGAGATGTGAACCTGTCCCATAGAAAATAATGTTAAATGGACTGTAGTGCGTTTCTGTAAAATGCTACGGAATACGCTTAGGTGTGAACCTAGGGGGGTTACACACTTTTTGTGAATATTAGCAGCTACTTCTGATGTACTAATTTTATGTATAAGATCTATTGATCCTTTTTGTGGCACTGTTGTCTTTTCCTCCAGTTTGCTTAGATGTTTCCCTAACAAACTGTGTTTGTTTGCAGCTGCCCTTCATTCCTAGATGGTTGACTGGACAAGTCCTTCTTAGTGGCAGAAAATGACTTCTTGAGTAAGTGGGCTCCCATACCACGATGGCTGCTCAGAAAATTCGATCTGCGAATGCCAATGGTCTGCCTCGTTGCAAGTCTGAGGGGACACTGATAGACATTAGTAGCAATGTTCCTGACCCAAATCTTAGTGATGTGAAAGGTGAGTCATAACTAGTTCTAATTCTTTAGATGTGTGATGGAGTGTTCCAAGCATGCTAGGTGATGTGGAAATCTATCTTGGCTCACGTCTAGCTCAGTTTAAAGCTGCATATCAGGGGTTCAAACTATGCAAGTATACATATTCCATGGTAGCCGATCCCTGTGAAAGCAGAGAATCACTGTAGTAACCTTCACTACTACAGTGATCTGGATGTCTTCAGGGTCCTGTGGCGAGTGGCTACCCTTCCTGCATAGTAACCACGGGGTCGCCCATTCAGAGAACGCTTTGCATTTTCTCAAGGGATTCAAATCATTCTCTAATTGGATGAGGCAATGAGTTGATGTCACACTCTCTACCTCATTTAATCAGAGAACACCTTGTACTCGCTGAGAAAAATAAAAGGTGCCTGTCTAAGTAGCGCCTGTGCCAAGCTTGCTCTGCCATTACTATTCAGCAGGCTAACCACACAACACTGGACACAGAAGAAGTGAATATCACTGTAATACTGGCAGCTACTGCAGTGATTCTCCTCTTCTGCAGGCATTGGCCAGATATGGATAATAGCTGGACCAAAGTAACCGTGCAACAAAAAAAAAACCCTGGAATTTGTTTTAACCTGCCAGTGAAGCAGCAAGTAAAATTTGAGAAGTTTCTATATTTTTGAAAGTTGCTTTTCATTTTGAATTGTATGTAGTTTTTGGGTCTAATATAACTGTAGTCTTGGCGTTTTTTTGAAGCATAATATGGAGTTCCTCCTTACTACACGTTCCCATTATGGTGTTGGAAGAGGCCCAGTAAAGTCAACAGAGCTACCTTTTAATTTTCACAGATGGTATCGTGAACACCGCAGGGAGGAAGGCGCTGGAGGCACATCATGGCACTTCACATTGCAAGAACTCATTTTATTTATAGCCTTTGCTTATCAGAAGCTTATAGTTTGTTCTAGTAGCTTTATTTAATATGGTGCCATATTTGCTCCAAGTCAGTGGCTCACTTCTGACTTCTTCTGGCCAGTGGAATCTATTATCTCCTAAACACATGTACAATGGTGTGTGGCCTTAGGTGTGGTTTTTAGGCAATTTTATTCCTCCAGGAGTTCTGGCATTCAGAGGTGCTAAACGAAAACACCCTGTGTGCACGAGGCCCATTTTTTTCACTTCAGTTTTACCCGGCTGCTGAAATTTGAATCGCATACTAGCTCTTTATATCTATCGGGGACTGTATTGACGTGATATCTATGTAGCTCTAGTAAAAAGCCATATTGTGTCTTGCTCCCCTGATGGATTCTGCATAATGTAGAAGAAACTAATTGGGGAGTCCAGCTGTGAGAGGGTACCCCTTTGTTCTGACCTTTTAGGGGGGGGCACACAAATGAGTGTGGGGAATCTCACTGCTGTAATCCTGTATTTTTGTATTTGAGTAACCCATTGCCATTTTTTATATTGTGGTGTTCATATTGAATGAGTACTTCACAAGGGACCTGATTTTTATCCATTAAATAAAGAGCTTGTTTTGGTGTGAAGAGAAGGTCCGTGTCTTTGTTTGTTTGTTTGTTCTTGCACTGACTTCAAATACAGCAAATACTGTACTGCGGGCCTGGGACTATCATCCAAGGTCATTTAAAATACACATCAGCCTTTTTCTCCTATTCAGATAGGGAAGCAGTCAGAATTCACAACAGATGTGCCTTTGGAAAAGGTATTCTGTAAATACATGGATTTTATTATGAGGTGTCTAAATATAAACCCGCTCTGTCTTTTTGGATGCAGTGCATTGTAGCGCTTTTTCACTTTAGGATGTGCTTTTGTAGTAGCATGGTTGTGTTTTGAAAAATAAATATACTAATATGGTGAATTAAGATATGTTTGTGTGTTGTGTCATAAACACATTTTGGATTTTAAAGTGGTAGTAAACCACAACACAAGAAAAAAAAAAATTGGGCCCCTGCAGAATAATGTCATAATGTACTAGAATGCATCACACACGAACACATTATAGGATGCTCTCCTTAAAAAAGAAGCCCTCCAGCAGCACGCTGTCACAACTGTAGGCGCTTTCATCTTCACCTGGTCTTCCTTCCAGGTTTGCGGGGTTCAGCTATATGAATGAGCATGCTGCCGTGATGTCACTCCCTAGCATATACGTGGGAGGCTCGGCTACGGCACAGAGTTCTTAATGGATGGCATGGTCCATTGAGAGCCCAGTGCGCATGCACTGGTGATGACACTGGCAGCTACTAAGATGGATATCTTCTAAACGGTGCACGTTTAGAAGATATTTACTGTAACTACAGGTAAGCCTTTATTATAGGCATACCTGTAGCTAAAAATCATACAAGTGACTTTACTGCCATTTTAAATTCCATAACCTATGATTTTATGAGAGATTAAGGTTTCCAATAACTAAATTACCCATGAACCTCCTTAGATAAAATAACTTTTGCACCTATTTCAACTTAGAGACTCTGTGTGTTTTGAAATGTATGCAGCTCAGACCAGTGCTATTTTTGAAAGTGGTTCTAAAGGCTTTTTACCTGCATCCATTCATTGTATGAAGGTAAAAAACCTTCATGGTGCAATTCCCCCCCTCTTAATACTTTACCTGAGCCTCATCTTGATTGAGATATGTGCACAAGAGCAGTGGCTCTCCCAGGACTCTCTCCTTGTTGGCTGAGACACAGCAGTGGGAGCCAATGGCTCCCGCTGCTGTCAATCACAGCCAATGAGGAGGGAGTGGGAGGCAGGACTGAGCCACACAAACACACACAGCCAGCTCGAGAACAAGCAAGTAAGAGTGACCCCAGACCAAGCAGCTTGCTCTGGGGGCACTCTCCACAAGGGAGAGGGGCCAGAAGTGCCAGCGGTGGACACGAGAAGAGGAGTTTCAGGGCTGCTCTGTGCAAAACCATTTAACAGGTAAATATGACATGTTTTTGTTCTTTCTAAAGAAAAAATAAAAACCTTTAGAACCACTTTCATTTTATAATATCTTATAACCCTTAATTGCTAGGAATTTAAATTGACCCTAAATTGTGGTTTAAAAAAAAAAAAATTTTTGAACGTATTCTTAACTCTTCTATTGCTCTCAACCCCCTCCAAATTGTTATTTTTTGGTTGCATGGTTGTTAAGTTAATTCTTTCTCCTACTGTATGTAGGAACCTAGTCGCCCTCTCTTGCTCACTTTCAGTGGGACTATAGGATGTGTAGTGTGCATAGAACTGTGATGCACTGCTCGATCCAAACAAACAAGGGAAGGAAAAATACAGGACCATTAAGTAGTGGATGTGTATCGGTGACTTTTTAAAGATGTTAAAGGTACATCTTCCAATGTGTCTTAGGTTGCCACCTCATCCCTTTTAAGATGAGATTCATTATAATTGCAAAGTTCTGTGGCCAATTAAGGTGGTAAATAAACTCCGTGCCTTATCTGCATTAAATTAGCCTCAGAACCAGTGTAATTAATATGTGCTCAGTCTTAAAGGAATGAGGAGGCAACCGTAAATGTGGAAGCGTGTCCCAGTGATAACGAAGCAGGGGTTTCCCACTATGTATAAAACATCAATAATGAAAAAAAAAATGGCTAACTTTTTTATAGAATTTTTTTTTTTTGGGGAAGATTTGACATCAATGTATAATTACAGATATGCTCCAGGCAAAAAATGTAGTACTGTATAGACGTGTGTTTTTATATAAGGAGTACAGCCTGCCTGATCATTGCTTCAGTTTTTCACCAAGGCATTGCTGTACTGCACAAGTCCATCCCCACTGTCTTTTCTCTATTTTATTGATCCTGGAAAATACCTGCTCGTGATGCTACAAACGCACTCCTTGCTGCCTCCTGCAAACAGAGCAAAGTTTTAAAAGAGAAAAAGAAATTAAACGGTACAGGCTTCAAGAAGTATACTCTTCTGGCTCTTCTACAGGTCTGTTAGATGGTCTGAATAGAGAGACAGAGGAATACAGGTGAAATGAATGAAGGTGCTGATTTTAGCACCTTGTGGTATTTAAGCAGGCCACACATGGGTCGAATTCCGACCGATTGTTCAATCGAAAATCGTAAACATTGTTTGTTCTGTAATCTGATGGTGCCACCAATGATTTAAAAAATCGGTAGTTTTTCACGAATTTTCCAGCATGCCCAATAAACGAAATGGGGAGGAACCACGAAAATCGGCCGGTGCCATTTCCCCATTAACAGAGCGAAAATCAGCCGATTTATTCTTTGGTCCGATTTTAGAACTAAAAATCGTTTGGAAATCAACCCATGTATGGCCGGCCTTGCTTTATAGTAGTCGTTTACTAATTTCCTGTACATGTTTTCTGGAATTGCTCTATAAGAAATACCTAATTAATTATTTTAAGTAAATGAACAACAGAAACACAGTTGCAGTCCTTTTTTTTTTTTTTTTTTAATGTGACTTGTAACATTTTTTCGTGTAATTGGTTAGAACTTTCCCACCATTTGCACTTTGGCAAGTAGCAGATATCTTTTAGACTGATCATTTGTACTTATAACATTTCTCAAACAGTCATCTCCAGAGAATAATTATCCACCATTTGGAAAATTATTCCTTATTTTGTTCTCCATCTGTGAAAATTTGTATGTCCATTATCTGCAGAGTCAAAGGATATTTATATAATCCTTCCAAATTGGCCCCTTGTAGACATGCAGGATGAGTGAGGGCTAGTAAATAACAATTACTGGGGTGCTTAAGCAGAAATCCCAGCCTGCATATATTTTATTGTATTTCAGGTACTTATATAACGCCGTAAATTTATGCAGTGCTTTACATATATATTGTACATTCACATCAGACCCTAACCCTCAAGGGGTGTACAATCTAAGGTCCCAAACTTACATTCATACATACACATACTAGGGACAATTTAGACAGGAGCCAATTAACCTACCAGCATGTCTTTGGAGTGTGGGAGGAAACCGGAGTACCCGGAGGAAACCCACGCAGGCGCAGGGAGAACATGCAAACTCCAGGCAGGTG